GCGAAAGATTTACGGACCTTTACGCGTTGGCGATGGCGAATACCGAAGACGATTAAACGATGAGCTGTACGAGCTTTACAACGATATACACGTAGTGCGGCAAATTAAAATTCAGCGCCGCTGGCTTGGCCATGTCGTTCAAATGGACAGAAACGCTCCTGCTCTGAAAATATTCAACGCGGGCCGCAATGCTTGTAACAGAGGAAGAGGAAGGCCTCCTCTGCGTTGGAAATACCAGTTGGAGAAGGACTTTGCTTCACTTGGCATTTCCAATTGGCGTCAGTTTTCACAGAAAAGAAATGACTGGCATGCTGTGGGACTCAGCCAAAATCGCTTAGGCGGTTACAGCGCCAATAAAGAAGAAGAAGAAGGATATAATTTGATCTATCTACTCTATTCATTTTTTATCATAATTCATCTTTGAATATATGTACATCAGCGATAAAATTGTGCGGTTACCCGGTTTGGAGCATTTTGTCGCGGGGTGTACTTTTAAAAACGTTGATTATAATATACGAATTTATTTGTGTAAATAATTTAAGACTAAATGTAAAATTAATGAAACTAAGTGGAGATTTCTGACAAAACTGGCTATGACTTTATGGGCTAGTCGAAGAGATCTCAATAATAAATTACGTTAAATTAAGTCTGAAATGTATACTCTACACAAACTGAAGCTGTACAATGAACTGAACAACAAACGCACTGTAGTAGACATAAAAATGGTTTTTGTTTGGTTGAGGGAAAAGGGGAGGTAATATATTGACGGTAATGGTGAAAAAGACAATTAAGCTCAAAAAGTTACATTGATTTAGTACGATTAAAAAATTTTAAATATCAACACTGGTCTAGACCAGTGGTGCACACGGAGCAGCGTTGCCAGGTTGACGTTTTTAACGTCATTTGGAGATTCTCGCAAAAGCACCAAAAAAGCTGTAGCAGCATAAAAAGTCAGAAAAAATTAGGCGACTTTTTTAAGACTGCCGTGGAAATGTTTTGAACGCAAAAACGGCTGAAATATTGCTATGTTCCTTCTTACAGACCGTAATTTAGCATTTTCGACAACCGATTACCTAACCAAATGCTGCAAGAAAAAGAATTATTAAAAATCAACGCGATTCTTTAGCAACTTCAAACTTGCACATTATTACCTTGGAATTTAATAGGCTTCATAGCATACTCAAAAAATTCCTAAAACTCTGAATAAAAAGGTAAAAATCTAGCTGAAATTTTTCAGATTTTTTATAATTTTTGCAATAAGTTTGAAATGTGGATTTATAATTTGTTTGTTATATAAAAAGCTAGGCTTTTATGGAAAAATAATAAACATTAAATAAACAAAAACAGCCACAATCGATCAAAATGTTGATGTTAATCAGCTAATCACAAGTGTATGTATAAAATGATTTTTATATAACGATCTCAAAGCAGTTTACCATGAATTTTAAATGTGCTCTGTCGAAATGATATTTTAATATACCTTAAGTAAATACTTATGTACCCTTGTATACAATAAAAGTTTAATAAGAGCAATTCTCTGTGCATACATTTGAAAAAGACGTTTTTGGGTAGGAAATTACGTTTTTTCAGACCAAAAAGGGACGTTTTTTCATGCCGAAGACCTGGTAACACTGACACGGAGTCTCACGGACATGGTTGCCACAATTGGTAACTTTCTACCAAAATTGGTAACTTTTAAATGGTTTGGTAACTTGGTAACTTTTATTTCATTTTGGTAACTTTTGCAACTAAATATCTATCTGCATTACTAGAAAGAAATGAATTATGTTTTGAATGTGCGTAATTATATAAAATTCTTCGAGTTTCAGTGGCAGCACTACTGACACTTTCATAAAATTACTTCGATTAAATTAGAGTCATATCATATTCAAATACTGGAAATATTTGAATTACAGTGGCAGCACCAAGGGCTGCACTTTTAAAACAACTTTTTGCGATAAATTTTGAACTATACCCTCTCACATTTTAATATTGGCCATCTGGCAATTTTTGGTAAGGTCCATAAATCGTTTTGCTTATTCCGGCAAAAAAAAAAATGTTGCGTGCTTTTTACCAGACCCATCTACCGACATGTGTTTCGACACCTACCGACATATATTTCGACGTACAGTAAATTATGAAAAACCGAAAAAATAACAAAAAAAAATTAGCAATTTTCGCAATTTACTCGAAATTTTGTACGAGTCAAACGAACGGTTAAAACCACCCGCCACTTTTTTTGTGTGCCGGTGCTATTATTCCGTGAGTCACAGGTCCAAGTATCGGCACATGCCGAACGAAAAATTACACTGAAAATGGTACAACGCCGAAACCGGTTTGTCTCCACACCAAATTTGACAAGGGATAATGGAAAATCGTTCCACATTACATCATACTCCTACCCTGTCGGAAACACCAACAACGAAAATGAGAATAACGGCACATGCAGTAATTAATTGATAGAAAAATATTTTCTAATAAAAAGTATTATTATAATTGTCAATAGCATTTTCAATCTTGATAATTTATCAAGAAAATAGATTTAAACTTCTGTGCTAGAACCGGGAGTTCTTGATAAATAATCAAAAATTGACAAATTATAAAAATATTGAATTTATTAAGTGCACAGAACCGGGCTGTAAGTATATACATATTTGTTATAAAATATAGCACTGTTATTCAGTAAATTTTTTTCTCACTGAAGAAGTGAAGATTTTGGTAGTGAAGATTTGGTAACATTTGGTAACTTCTCTTCAGAGATTTTGGTAGAAAAAAATGTTGGCGAGTGGCGACCAGCGTTGCCATTTTAGCCGTTTTCCGGCTAGATTTAGCCGGTTTTGATAGCAACTAGCCGGAGAAAATTCGATCTAGCCGGCAGCCGATTTGTTAGCCGGTTTGTAAAAAAAATTTAGCCGTTTTTAGCCGATTTTACTATTTGCCTAATTTTCAGGTGCAAAAAGTAAACAAGTTGTTCGAAAGCAATAATGCAGACCCAATGAAGATTTTTAATGAACTCAATGTTTTACTTTCGCATCTATGCTCCCTAGTGGTTATTAGCGTGGACACATTTGATCCTATATGCTCCCCGTTGGAACCATACCTTGCTCCATTTCCTCAGTTTTATCACAGTTTTGAAGAGTATTTAAAAACAAAAGTAAGCACAAACGCTTTTGACCACGAAGCCGAGAAAATAATTCGAGAAAATGGTCGGTATTTTATTATCACTTTAATAAAGGAATTACGCCAACGCCTTCCTACAAATATTGCCACACTAAAAAAAATTGACTTTTTTCGGTTGGAAATGCATTAAGAGTAATTAAACCAAAAGTATTTGTTCAACTACAGCAACAAAAACACAAATATAATGCCGACGAAATAACATCCATAGAGATGCAATGGCAATGGTTAACGTTACATACCTGGAGTAATTTAGACTCAACTGTAAAATTTTGGGCCGAAGTTTATCAATTTCGAAATGCCCTAGGAGAAAACCCTTTTGCTGACCTTTCCAACCTATTTTTTAGTTTTCTTGTTTTGCCTATAAGTAATGCAGAAGTAGAGCGAATATTTGGTTCAATGAATATAATAAAAACTAAGCAAAGAAATCCAATGTGCATTCTTAAAATTAATGAATTCCGGTGATATATACAATAGTGATTCATTTGATGATGAGGAATATACACTCGATATAAATTAATGGTGTTAACTAGTCTTTCGTTTCTTGCGATATATTTAAATAAAGCATGTGAATTTTCACTAAAACATTTTAGCCGTTGTTCGGGACGGGATGATTTGGGGGCCGGGAATTCCTCTTGAATTCCGCGGCAAACGAGGGTCGAGGAGCTGCCGAATCCCTGAAGTCCTTCGAGGGTTGAATTTAACACGCTTAAATTCGCTCAATAAAATTAAATAAAAACACTTCACCTTTTACTCGTATATATGTATATATATATATAAGCGCCTAACGGCCACTTTATTATATGTATATATGTGTATATAAAAAATGCTGTAATAAAATGGTATATAAAGTGATTAATAGTAGAGGACCTTACTTGTGGATTGCTCGGAGTTCTCTTCCAAAGTGGCAGAGTGTTGGGCGATCGCAGAAGGCGAAACCCAACATCCGAGGCGGGTAACAGGACTCGAGAAAAAGGAACTCGAGTAACGAGTAGCTGTTCCCGCTTAGATCACAGCGACATCTACAAGTGAAATTCTCTACTTCATAAACATACTTAAGGTGAAGGGGGCTAGCGTAAACATGCCGCCCGCCTTGCAGTGTCGCTGCAATAAACTTAACTAGATATTTACAATTCATTTTTTTCTATTTCATTTTGCTATTTACAATTCATAAATTCATTAAAAAATTCATTTTTTGGATTTCAGGCCAATTTCTTCTGGTAGTCCACTAATAGATGGTGCCTCCCGAGATCATCCACCCGAACATTGTGTTCTGTGCCGTTGGTCGAGTGGGGGTGGCTGGCATGAGTCCCGGACGCAGGATCATTGCGTATATTTCGGCTCCTAGGACTAGTGATACGGCGCTAGATTTGTAAAAGCCCGGGTCGGCCAGCCGAAAATTGTCGAACTCGTTGGTAATCCTGGCATCCAGCGTGCGAGGGGGGGTTACCCGAGAGAGGCCTGGTTGCACGTCGGCGCAAATATCCAGCCTTTCATGCCACCCTTTGAGCGTGAGCCTGCACACATCTGCATAGCCCCGTGGCAAAACTCGAAGTTGGCGTGCCAGCTGAAGCGATATTGTCGACCTGGACTGTGCTGGGTCGACGATGGCGCGCACTACTTGCGTCCTCCCTCGGGTCATTACCTTAACCGCTACTGTGGGTGTGAGGACAGATAGCCTAGGAGCGCTACGGGCCGTGCCCGTAATCCGCTCTCGGGCGTCTCTCACACCACGGCGGTGGGGTTGTTGCTGGGATCGCCGTTGGCGTCGGTGTGCGCCTCGGCGCTTCGACCTCGTTGCTGGGGCTCGCTGCACTACCGACCGGACACCCGACAGAGCAGGTCTGAATGCCGGCGGTGCACTAAGCTCGGGATCATCCCCCAATGCTTGTTGAAGGTCTTCTTCATCGGCGTCGATTTCCAGCACCTCACCTTCGTCGCTTGTTTCGGCTAATGGCCGGATGGTGTACGGGCGGAACGGTCGTCGCTGACGGATCTCTGGCTCGACCAATCCCAGTAGCACGTCTTCCTCATCTCGGGGCGCCTCGCCCAGGTGGAGAAGGCTATGGTGCCGGTCTCGGCAATGCTCACATTTTCGGGGCGATGCGCAATTCTTCGCCGTGTGATGCGGCGACAGGCAGTTGGCGCAGTGGCGGTGCACGAGGACAGCACGCAGTCTCTCGGCCGGTTCCATCCTGCGCATCTCGCGACAAAAAGCCAGGCGGTGGTTGCTGCGGCACACTGGGCAGCGGTATTGGCCCTTGTTAGCTTGGGTGTTGCTCTTGGTTGCACGTACCATTTTGCGTTGAGTTCTGTAAAGAGAGATACGATTATTATTTTGTTTTGTCAATCTGGCAGAAGTACCAATTTTACAATTGGTCGAGTTATAATTCCGCGTGCCGTTCGTATTTCTACGACTCGTACTCGGCTGTCCTGACCTGAAAAGACCCTAGTTACTCTGCCAAGTCGCCATTCATTTGGGGGAAGGTTATCCTCTTTGACGACGACTAGATCGTCAACTTCGAGGTTTCGTTGGGGGGAGTGCCATTTCACTCTCTTCTGCAATTCCTTCAGGTATTCTGCTTTCCACCTTCTGCAGAATGTCTGGTGAATCGCCTTGATCTTTTGCCACCGGTTGACAATAGACATCGGGTTCTCGTTAATTTCGGGTTCAGCGAGTGCCAGTAGCGGGGTGCCAATCAAAAAATGTCCTGGGGTTAAAGGTTCCATTGATTCCGCGTCTTCAGAGATGGGGCTGATTGGTCGTGAATTAAGACAAGATTCGATTCTTGCCAGAAGCGTGGAGAGCTCCTCAATGGTAAAACGCATGTTGTTCGCTACCTTCCTGAAATGCATCTTGAAGCTTTTTACCCCCGCTTCCCAGAGCCCTCCCATGTGAGGTGCTCCTGGAGGTATAAAATGCCACGTAATGCCCTGATGAGCGTATGTCTGAGTTGTGCTGTTGGCCGCTGCAGTGACAAAGAGCTTAAGATCCTGTTGCAATGCCTTATTCGCCCCTACAAAATTGGTTCCATTGTCCGAATACATATTTTGCGGGCAGCCGCGTCTAGACACAAAACGCGCAAAAGCTGCTAAAAATGTGGCGGTGGACAAATCGCTGGTGGCCTCCAAGTGTATTGCCTTTGTCGCAAAACAGACGAAAACGCAGACATAGCCCTTGGTAATACGACAAGCTCGACCCGTAAAACTCCTTATCTCAAAGGGCCCGGTGAAGTCGACTCCAGTGTTGGTGAAGGGTCTGGATACCTCAGTCCGTTCCGGTGGTAACGCTGCCATCAACTGCTCCCGCGCCTTCTTTCTGTAAATAACACAGACCTTACAGTTATGAACTGAATTTTTAATCACGTTTTTCATTCGCACTATCCAGTATTCGGACCGCAAAATTCTCAACATGAGCTGGTTTCCTCCGTGCAAGGAAATCAGATGTGTGAATTTTACGAGCAATCTTGAATACTGGCAGTCGTACGGGAGAATTATTGGATACCGTTCCCTGTAAGGTATGTTCGTTAACGCCAGTCGTCCTCCTACCCTCATTACTCCGTTCCTGTCGAGGAAGGGGTTGAGAGCGCGAAGTGAACTTTTCGCGTTGATTGGCGTTGAAGCGATGATGGCCCTGTATTCATCTGCGTAGTGACGCCTCTGTGCAATAAGGATGAGACGACATTTTACCTGCTTTACTTCATCGGAGGTTATTTCGTCTGTCTCGTCACTAGCGGCCAACTTATGCACCGGATGAGTTTTTCTAAAAAATCGGAAAATTCGCGCAATTACTCTCATGGCTCGCGAGAAGTCTGAAAACCGCTCCAGAATGTCCATTTCCTCGGAGATGCCTGCCGCATGAGCCCGTACCGTTTTTTGCTCCAGGTCGGTTTCTAATGGATTTCTATTGGTTTGGTGGGGCCAAGTAGATGAATCTTGCTCCAGCCACTTAGGTCCATACCACCACAGAGTGCTTGCGAGTAAATCCTGGGGGGACACGCCTCGGCTGCCAAGATCCGCTGGATTATCAGCAGAGTCCACATGGTTCCACCCTGACACTCCAACCAGCTCATCAATTTTTGCGACTCTGTTAGCTACAAACGTTGTCCATGTACATGCCGGTTTCCTAAGCCACGAGAGTACGATCGTGGAGTCGGTCCATTTGTATATTACTGGCTGCGTGACTTCAAACTGCGGAATAAAAGTATTAATTAGTTCGGCCAGTAATAATGCTCCGCAGAGCTCTAACCGGGGGGAGAGACACCGTTTTTACTGGTGCTACTTTTGTTTTACCAACCAGCAAGTTTATGTGGGGCGCATTGTTTGATGCGCGATCGCGTACCCTAATATATAGTGCGGCTGCATATGCCTTTTCAGAGGCATCGCAGAAACCATGGAACTCCACTTCGTCCCATGGCGTAAAATGGGTCCATCGGGGGATTTTTACCTTCTGGATATGCTTATAGTTATCCAGAAAGGTCTCCCAACGTAGCAGTAAATTTCGGGGTAGACTGTCATCCCAGTCTATTTTGGTTAGCCAGATCTCCTGCATGAAGATCTTTGCCACCACTACAATTGGTCCGAGCCATCCAGCTGGATCGAACAATTTTGCTACGCAGGATAAAACCTCTCGCTTGGTATACTCCTGCTTCCGGGGGATCGGCTGTACTGTGAAGTGAAACATGTCATGTACCGCGTTCCAACGGATTCCCAACATTTTTGTCTCACTCATGTCGTCAAGCTCCAGGAAATTCTCCTTGTATATGTGCGCCTTGGGTAGTCCTGCCAAAATCTTCTTACAATTCGAAGTCCACTTTCTTAGTGGGAAGCTGGCGGTGTTAAGAGCTTCAATTACCTCATCTCTCATTTGTATTGCAGTTGTGCAATCGTGGGCTCCAGCTAGGACGTCATCGACATACATATACTGCTTCAAAATCTTTGCTGCCAGTGGAAATCTCGTTTTCACATCATCTGCGAGCTGGTGTAGCGTCCTTATTGCCAAATATGGAGCGCAGTTTACTCCAAACGTCACGGTCTTAAGTTCGTAATCCTTAAGTTCTTCGTCCGGGGATTCTCTGAAAAGAATTCTTTGAAATGGGGTATGCTCCTGATGGAGCATAATTTGCCTATACATCTTCTCGATGTCTGCATTAAATACGTATTTGAATAAGCGCCACTTTAAAAGTAAGCAAACCAAATCCGCTTGCAGAATTGGCCCGGGGTATAATATGTCATTTAAGCTGACTCCATTTGACGTGGGACAAGACGCGTTAAACACCACTCGCACCTTCGTTGTTATGCTGTCCGGTTTCACGACGGCGTGATGTGGTAAGTAGTATGGCCTGTGTGCTGGTTGTTGCGCTGTTTTCCTCACGGGGCACATATGGTTGAGCTCGATGTACTCCTTCAGAACCCGGTCGTATTCCGTTTTCAACTCCGGTTTCCTGATATAACCGGCCTCGCTGCGCAAGAATTGCCGTGCTGCTCCAGTCCTTGAAAGGCCGAGGTTAATTTCGTCTGGGAATTCCCGACGAAAAGGTAGAGCCACCACATACCGTCCTTGCTCATTCCTCGTGGTCGTCTTAGCGTACAACTCCTCACAAAACGCATCTTCGGGGGTAATTTTCCTTTTGGTGGAAACTTCTTCTAACTCCCAAAACCGAGTTAGCTGGGGGGGTTGGAGTTTCTGCGCCGTGAGACACAGAAGTAGTGAAACTCCTCGTGGTCGTTGGTGGTACTGGTCCCGTCAAAATCCAGCCGAACACCGTTTCCTGCGCTACGAGTGACCCCAGAACATTCCTTTGGACCTTGTCCCTTATGACTGCTGGGTAAACATCCGCTCCAAGAATTAGGTCCACTTGCTGACTCCTGTAAAAATTGACATCGGCTAGCCGTAAGGGGGGCAGTGAATCAAAATGCCCTTGATCCACTGTAAACTTCGGGAGGTTTCCTGTTAATTGGGGTAGAACCAGACCTCTTGCCTCGATTCTAAACTGGGGGTTTATAGGAGAACCTATAGCCAGATGCGCGACTTTTCGCACATTTGCCGATACCCTGGCATTTATGCCCGATACCTGCGTATCAACCGCACGCGTTGGCAGCCTGATGAGTCTCTGTAGTCGCTCCGTGATGAAAGTTCCCTCTGATCCAGAATCCAGTAGGGCTCTGGCCTCATAGTTAACTCCTGAGTGGCAGATGTTCACCATAGCAGTACCTAAAAGAATGTTCCGGTTGCTCGCCGCAAAAAGCGCCTGCACATTGCTGGTGCCTGCGGGGGGTTGCTCAGATCGTGAGTCCTTGTTCCTCGGGGGGGGTCGCTGTTGCGAAGAGTTGGCCTTCTGTGGAGCTAAAGTTCGATGTAATAGTGAATGATGCCTCTGGTGACAGCTCCAACAATTAAACGGACTCTTGCAATCCTTCGCGATGTGTGAATGCGCTAGGCAGTTCATACACAAATTGTGTTTTCTGACTAAGTTGAGGCGATCCTCAACTTTCATTGCCAGAAATTTGGGGCAGCCCTTTAGAGCATGAGATTGTTCGGGGCATAATCTGCATGCGGGCTGCGAAAACTGACCGTGGTGTGCCGATACCTTCCTTTCGTACGTCGCTGCGGGTTGGCGATTAGGTACAGGCTTTACTGCGCGTGCACTTCGGATATCGGACACCGTTTCTAACGTCTGGAACCGACTTGTGAGAAAGCTGTCTAATTCCTCCCACTTTGGAATTTCCGCCTTTCTCACAATGCCTTGTTCCCACAACGCCAGCGTGGTATCCGGTAACCGACTCGATACTAAGAACACAAAGATCGCATCCCAGTTCTCAATATCAATCCCGTACATTTCTAAAACGGATATACAATTATTAACTGCCCGCTGTAAATTTTTAATTTCCGTCCCGCGTTCACTCGTTACCGATGGTAGGTTAAAGAGCGTTTTTAATTGGCTATTAACCATTATCCTCTTATTTTCATAGCGGTCGGATAAATTTTGCCAAGCAGTCGCGAAACCGTCGTTAGTCAAAGGCGATTTTTTTACGATATCTTTCGCTTCACCACGGGTCTTTTGATTCAAGTGGTACAATTTCTCTACCGGGGTCAAACGCGAATTGTTAATATAAATTGCCGTAAACAAATCGCGGAAAGATGGCCACGACATGTAATCACCGTAAAAAATTTCTGTGTCACATGGAGGTAAATGGATACTCGAGCGGGCTGGGGGTTCAATCTCGCGATTTACCGGATTAACTGTCGAACTACTTTGCTGCGTGAACGTCAGGTTATGAGCCGTCTCTCCCATCAATGCGCCGCACGTCAAGTATGCTGAGTAGCAATCCTGATATCTGCACTTCGCCAGCCGAAGTGCAGCCTGACCGGTTTCGTCGTCCGACACCTTTTTCGAATAGTCATCGAACGCATCCTTCACCTTGACCCAGAGCGCCTTCAGTTCCTCCTTTTGGATCTCCAGTGAAAAAATGGAATGGCTGCTACACGGCATGTTGTTGAAGCCCGCTTCGAATTCCAACAATGCATCACACGCCCGCGAAAAATCATTAACATTGGCCATCTTTCGAATATTAATTTAATTAACACGAAAAATTTAAAAACAAACGTCAATTGTACTACTGAACCTCGAGGTAAATTACTATTTTCGCGAATTATCGACAACAAAAATTGATAAAACAACGTACTATCAATTAATTTAATTAAAGCGAGAAATTTAAACAAACGTAAATTGTACGACTGAACCTCGGGGGTATTTACAATTTATACGAGTTATAAACAACGACCAC